TATCATGACTTATATTCAAAATTGTATTGAAAATAACAACCAACACAAAAAATAGGAAAGAGATAAAGACTAGAAAGGATAAAATAAAACTTGCATAATTAATCTTTGCAAACTCTCCAGTAAACCAAAATGGACATAAAGGCAAATTCAGTTGCAGTGCCAACAAGGAGAAAAGATGAAGAATAACTGTAAGAAGAGCTGTGCAATATGCTATGCATAAAATTATAATATAACACTGTATAATAGTTACGAACAGTACATACACAAGTGGAGACAGCTATCATATTCAGGAGTAGAAAGATTCAGTAACACGGATATGTCAGTACTTCCCCCAAATGATGTATTTATTGTAATTCCAATTAATGTCTTATTATTTATTGTAATTCCAATTAAATGCTTCTTTGTGGCATCAACAGTTGATTTTAAAATTAACTTGGTAAGAGCAGGTGACCATGAGGAACCTGAGAGGGTGGTTTGATGTTCCAGTTAGCAACACTTATTATAAAGTTTTTAGTAATTAAAAACAGTGTAATACTGAGTCAAGAGTAAACAAATAGACTGATTGAATAGTCACAAGAATAAGCGCTTATGTATGGAAATATCATGTTTTAAAAAGCTGCAAGACACATTAGTGTGAAATGAGAACACAGTCAATGAGTGGTGTGGTAACAACTGGCTATTAACGGATAAAAACGAGTATGGATTCCTATCTCACATCATATATGAAAACCAATTCCAGACAGATGAAGTACTTAAATTTTAGAGGAAAAATTTTAAAACTTTACAAAAAATGAGGGAGATTATCTTCATGGCATTGGGTAAGGAAAGGAATTGTAAGTAACATACAATAAATGCAAACTTTAAAACTTGATAAACTGATCTTAAAATTAAAATATTTTGATAAGAATCCAATGTAATGAGAGTGATTAAAAAGTGCCACAAACATGGAAGAATACATTTGGACATAGATAACAAAGTATTAGCATCCATAATATATAGGGAACTCCCAAGAGTAAGAAAGAAAAATATAACTCAATTTAAAAAATGAGCAAAAGGTATAAATAAGCATTTCCCATAAGAAAAAAAAATCCCAATCAGCATATAATGTTGGACTGCATAATTAATCAGGAAAATGCAAAATCATAGTGAATCATCATTTTACACTCATCATATTAACAAAAATTTTAAAAACATACATGCTTTCAGGCTAGCTCTAGGAAAATGATTGTCCCTGGGTTTTGAATCTCTCAACACAGCCTCCTCCAAAGCTGTAAGATCAACAAAGAGGACACAAAGTATCAATTGCATGTGACCCATACCTTCAGAATTAGTGGGAGGCTGAGAATGGCACAAGTTTCAAATTACTTTAAGTTTGAAAATAATCAACATATTCCAACAGAGCTGCCGCTGGAACTGCACTTGCACCTGGAGTCGGTGGGTGTACGCAAAGGACAGGCCAATTTTATCATCTCCGTAGACAAAGCGAAGGGGGCAGGACTTAGATGAAATATAGGGGGGAAGTCCTCTAGGAAGAAGAACTTCAGCACCAAGTACCACCTTGCCAATGTAGTTCTGGAAACTCGAAAGTTTACAACACCAATCACAGGTCTGAAAATATCCAGAGATAGCTTTTTTTTTTTTTTTTTCTGGAAAAGAAGGAGGTAAGTAGAGAAGGGATAGTGCCCCTATAGATTTGACAGTGAAGTGAAAACAAAGTAGAATGAAAGTGTGGACACTATGCTTCCACTTATGCCCAGTTAAAACATGCAAAAATGAACTATATGCAGCCTAGAGTAGTAGTGGGGAACCTTTTCATGTCGGAAGGTGACTTCAATTTACCCATAATCATATAAGGCCAGATTCAAAACTTCATTTAGATATACTTAATGTACATTATTTTCTAAAAATCTAACTATTACATATTCAATAATTTCAAATAATGAAAATTGTTTGTTAATTTTACAGTTAACTAACCTTTTAATGACTGTGTAGTGTCTGCCTTTTGTTGGAAAGCGTTTGAATATTTGGTTGCAGGGTGGAGGTCGGCAGTTTCAGTTGGTCCTCCAGATGGTGTCCGTCATTTGTGACCTTAAGGGCATCTTGATTTGGGTTAGGTAGGAGAATGTAGATTTGCAGTAATAAGTGATTTAAAAGCAAGAAAGCATTTTTGGGGCATCTCCCTGAAGGTGTGGGTATTCTACTGCATTTTTCCATATTTCAATTGAATCTTTCTTAGCATCAAACAATGACTTTAAAATGTCATCTACTTAGAGTTGAATTAGTTCCATCTGTAGTTCTTTAGGTGCCTTGGTGATATCAACTAGGTGAGGCTGAAATGCTAATTTGGGTGTGATGTCATGATTCTCAAAGCCAGTGAACCTTTCACTGTGTTCTCCAATTAATAGGTCTATAACACCTGAGTATTCTTGAAATGATTCACATATATCATCCTGTTCATCAATGACTTTTGATAACTGAGGAATATGTTCATCAGAAATTTTCTTTTGAAGAAGTTTTTTGAAAAAAGATAGTTTTTTTTCCCAAAATGCTAAGATTTTTTTTTACCAAATATCATATATATATATTTAGTTTTATCTTGCAAAGAAATATTCAAGTCATTTTAATTTGAAATGATGTCACATAGAAACGCTGCATTGTTATAAAAATCTTGTTTCAATAATTCACATTGCTGATTCTGTTGTTCATAAAGTTCACTGTCTATTCTCACACAGATAAAATCTTGGCTAACCTGCCCCTGTGACAGCCAATGCATTTTAGAATGGTGTGGGAAATCCACACTGAATACTTCATGGTTCAACTTTAGCATGTTAGGAAACTGATGATGCTGTGTTGCATTTGCATGAATATAGTTAACAATACTTATAACTTTTTGCAAAGTGTCACTTAAAATAGTAGCTGTAGGGCAGAAATTTTCCCAATGCAAGATACAATGAAAAGAAATGAGAGCATGTGGATCTGTTAATAGTTTTATCTGTACAATAAACCTTTCATGTTTCCCTGTCGTGGAAGGTACACTATCAGCACATACACTGATTAAATTACCAAATTCGGTGCAACTTCACGTTTATCTTGAAAGTTGTTGAAGAGATCTATTCCCCATGTTCTATTTGCAAGAGTGCCCAAAGCAAGTAACTCATTGTAGCAAAGAAAGTCTTCTGTTATGACCTGAATGAAGTATAAAACCTGTGCCAGGTGAGTAGTATCAGTTGATTCATCCAAAGCAATTGAATGATATACATTTTTCTTTTGAAGTATTGCATGAAGTTTTTCTGTTAAGTTGAAGGTTAGTGCATGATGCCGATCAGTTATGGTTCTCCTTGAAAGAGGCAATTGTACTTTGAAATGTTATCAGGGCATCCTACAGCTTTGACAATGCATTCTTTCACAATTTCTACATCACTGAATGGCTTCCTTTTTTCCCTGAATATATAAGCTACTTTTCAAATTGCTTCAGTGGCAATATTTCCAGGTCTTATTGCTGCTTGAAAGAATTCTTTGCTCTTGCTTTTCATCTTTTAATTTCTGCAATACAACATTTCATGTTTCTCCCTCTAATTAAAATATTTGTGTTCCTTCTGAGTGTTACAATGCTGATGAGCTCTGAATTTCTTTAATGTTGATACTGCAGTATCACAAAGCAAGCAAATCATCTTACCTTTAGCAGAAACACGATAATATTGCAATTCCCAATTAATATTTTCAATTCTAATTGAAAAACCTGTTTTCTTCCTTCAGCATTATTTTGGTCTTCTTTGACATGATGGGCTGTTAAGCAGACAGAATTAAAAAATACTGTCTAGCTGAGAAACTATTCACAAATTCTACTTCAAACAGAAACATGGTGCACCCCTGTCAAAAGCTGACTGACAGACTGGCGAACTTGACCCCCATAAACTCTCACCTACCAGCCTCATGGGGTAGTGGCGCCAGTCAGGCGGGGGAAGTTAGAACTAATTCATGAGTGAAGCAGCCATCAATTTAGCCCTCATGGCTTACTAATGTTCTAATTGTGCCGGTTAATCTGGGAGGATTATTTCATTGAAACTTCTTTTATTCTTTGGTATTTTAAATATGTTCATTTGAAAAATAAAATAAAATATAAAAGATAAACAAAAATATATTAATAAAAATAAAAGGATTTGTTGTGTAAAATCTGTATTCAGTCAAAAGGCCACACATAAGAACTTAGAAGGCTACATGTGACCTTAGGGTGGCAGGTTCCCCATCCCTGGTCTAGGTAATCATGTGCATGAAATAAATGACAGCATAAAGCAAGGGACAGGTTAAGTTGGTGTCATGTTCACCATTAGCATACAGGGAAATAAAACACAATCAGGGTGGCTTCTACCAGTAATAATCAAAGGTGGTGAGTCTGAACCTATTTGTCTTATAATCAACATTTGCATTGTGTGTGTTTTGCTTGTTTGTTGTTTCGTTTTCTTAAAATTGCTTCAAATTCCAGATAAAATCCTCATTGGCTTTTTAGCAAGAGAACATTTATCTAACACTTATTATCTTATCATCTCCATAAATTATGTTTTCACTCTGACATTTAGGCAGATGTAGCATACTCAGTTGCATGGAAATTTTTCAGTGCTTAATTTGTTTGTATTTTCTACATGCTCTGAAAGAATTAGTTGGATGCATTCATATACAGGCACACTCATATAGAAAAACAGTTATATTTCACATGCTTAGAGAATAATGATAAGGAATAACACAGCGGACAGTGCACATTTGGTGTGCAATGCTCTTGGCTATGCTGCAGCTCTGCTCCCTGCCAGCCGGGCGATCCCAGTGCTTCCTTTATCTCATTGCCTTTATCTCAGTTGTTTTACCTGTGAAATGAAAAAACGCTAATGAAAGTATTATCTTTCCTTTCTGTGTGGTTGAAATAAAATAATGCCTCCTACTCATCCATATGAGGAATAGTTTCAACGTCGCCTCCAGCCTCAGGCATGTGCCTGTCTCTGTTCCAGGTTGTACCGCACTCCAGGTGACCTTGACCTCTGGCCCGCCCTTACCGTCGAAGACCTGATCCCCGGTATGAGAGTGGGACCCACACGCCTGTGCCTGTTGGTCACCCCGTTTCAGCGGCTAAGAGATGGAGATAGGTGAAGGGTTATCTGTTGCATTTAGTAAAGATTACGAAGGTTGTTTTGATAACCCAAAATATATTAAATATATGTATAATAACATTATAGTGTGGTTCCATATTTTCCATGATTTAAAATTTACCGACTATAATAAATAGCAGATAGCATCTGGTCACAGAACTTTTATGACCAGTGATCAGTATCGATAGCGTTCCTCTTTGCAAGCTCCGCGTGGCGAGGAGGAGCACAGCGTGCAAAGGCGGGCCGGTGTCAAGGACGCAGGCGCGACTCCGCGCGCCTGGACGGCCCCGGCGCTCCCCTGGGGGCGTGTGCCCCCGGCCGCTCCCAGCTGGGCGGGGCGTGTGCCCCGCGCGCTCCCCCTGGGGCAAGTGCTGCCCCCCCGGCCGCCGCTCCTGGGGCGTAGTGCCCCCGGCCGCCTCCATCCCCCTGGGCGTGTGCCCCGGCCGCTCCCCCTGGGGCCGTGTGCCCCCGGCCGCTCCCCCTGGGGCGTGTGCCCCCGGCCGCCTCCCGCCTGGGGCGTGCTGCCCCCGGCGTCCCTGGGCGCGTGTGCCCCGGCCGCTCCTGCGGGGCGTGGTGCCCGCCGGCCGCTCCCCTGGGGGTGTGCCGGGCCGGCCCGGCCGCTCCCTGGGGCGTGTGCCCGGCCGGCCCCACGGGGCTCCGGGACCAGCCCACCGTTCTCCCCCGACGCCCGCCCGCCGGCGAGTCCGCGACGAGGCGCTCCAGCGACCGGCAACTCGACGGGCCTCTGCTCCAGCAAACGACCTCGGTTTGTCTAAAAGTGTTCGCTTTTAGCTTACATTGGATTTTACGAAATACCGGCAACGCCAGGCCTGGTTGACTGTGAGCCAGTCGTGTAAGCCTCCCTTTCTGTTCCAAGAGCCGGCGCCAAGGACGAAGCCGAGAAACAGCGCGCGAGCAGCCGGCGGCGGACCCGGTCGCGCAGGCGGAGTGTGCCGGCCCCGTTCCGCGTCCTGGTGCTCAGTAGAGAGCGCGCGTGCTGGCCGCGCGCGTCTGTGGGGCGGCCCCGCCATCTGAATCTTGTACCTTACGTTTCCTTCTTGTAGTGGCTCCTATGCTCCAAATATAGGCAGCTTCCGCAGGTGACGGCACCATCGGACTTCAAACACGAATTTGGGGGACGGCTGTTCTGCACGTGATAACCACGCGAGTGACAGCAGGTTTTTCGGTTTAGCGTCTTAATTTCCCTTTGTATGTCCGCATGCAAGAGCGCTCACGGTGTGGGGTTCAGATGTTCGCCTGAGGGAATGGACACAACGGCTCGCTTTAATAGGCTGGTTTTTAACCTACGTGCTTTCGTTTAAGCTTGAATCGTGTTTAATTCTAATTAGTCCAGTAGATACAACAGAATTGTCCTATATTACAATATCTAGAGCTCGCTTTCCTTATTTAGGCAACTTGTCACTATTAACTGTTGAGACAATCTTTCTAAGGACGCTCTATACGCCAGAGTTTAAATGTGAAAATGAGCCTTTCTTTTAACACATCTTATCACACTACTCTCTGAATCATGTTTGCTAAAACCTTGTGTAGACACGTGACTAGTCTGTAAAGCATGGACATTTAGGGAAGCCTTTATGAACCTACTGGAGGGAATTAAACCAGCACTTACGCTCTAGAAGAACCGCACACACCCTTGTCGTGTGGCCTCTTGCTGCGCGGGATCTCTGCTCGGCGGACGCCGCTGGCCGTGGCAGCGGGCCGGGCGCAGACCCGCCACTTCCCGCGCTGCTCGCTCCACTGCCAAGCGCTCGCGCATGCGAAACCCTGGGCTGCTCTCCATGCAGCTCGCTCAGCTGAAGCACGCGCGTCACGTCGCGCGGCTTTGTGGCCCATGGTGACGCCGCTTCAACGCCCGCCAAAAAAGTCCCGGCCAGCGTCTCTGAGGGGCAGAAACGGCCGGCCAGGACCACCCGAGATTGCAGCGAGTCGCCCCGGCCGCCTTGCGTGGGGCACGGCTGCCGCGAGGGCCGGTGGGAACATGTCTGCGCGCCTTCTAGACTGGCGCGTCTGCGCGTACTCGTGTCATTTCCAGGGCCAGGATTGCGCAACTTAAGCAAAGACTCACAGAAAACAAAAATCAAGAGCACAAACTTTCCTATTAGAAATCTGGTGGGTGAGGACGGGTGGACATCAGGAAGGCCACAGGCACCGCGTTCACCGGCCTCTTCCGCTTGGCACGGACTTTGCCGGGACGGAAGGGGGGGCGAGCGGTGGGGGGCGGGGCGACCGGCGGGGGGCGGGCGAGCCGGGGGGGGGGCGAAGCGGGGGGCGAGCCAGGGGGCGAGCGGTGGGGAGGGGGCGGCGGCGGGGGGGGCGCCGCGCGGGGGAGCCGGCGGGCGGGCGAGGCCGGCGGGGGGAGCCGCGCGGGGCCAGAGCCGGCGGGCGAGCCGGCGGGGGGCGACGGTGGGGGAGCCGGCGGGGGGGGGGGGCGAGCCGCGGCGGGGGGACGGGGGCGGAGCCGGCGCGGGCAGGCCGGGAGCCGGACCCGGGGGGGCCGGGAGACGCGGGGAGGGCCGAGCCCTGCGGGCGCTCTGGCGGCGGCTCCCTGGCCTGCCAGCCGCCCCGCCGAGGCCGCGCTCCGGTCACCGGAGAGCTCTACCTCCTGGGCATCAGCTGGCCAGAGAGAAGTGACAGCTCACGGTAACCTGGCTCACCTAGACTGCGCTTTCTCCGTGAGATGTTGCAGCAGTGTTCCTTGGGAAAAGGAGGAAATTTTGATAGAGTCAGATAAAAAAAAAAAAAAGACGAAAAACCTTTCCCTAGAGACACAACAGAATCTGTGACATCCATGTGTCCCCTATCAGGAGCCAAACTCTCCCTTAGGAGCTTCGTAGACATCTATTTTGTCCTCACAGTAACCCTCAAGAAATGAGGGTTGCTTTTAGATGAAAGTGAGGCTCAAAAACCTTAGACGACTTGCTCAGAGTCCACACACGGGAACGTGGAGGGTCTGGGACGGGGGAGCAATGTGCTGACCGCGGACACCAGGAAATGGACGGAGGATGTGGTGGCTTTGCAGCAGAGCATGCTGTTTTCACAGGTGAGCAGGTGTCTGCCACATGGCAGGATACTTGGGCTCCTCTGGGCGCCGACAGCCTGCGGGCCACAGCGGCCTCCTGCCTGTCCCACGTGAGCCCGCGCCGGAGGCTCTGATGTTCTCCCAGAATGGCACGGCAGTTCCTGGTACGGAAGTCGCACTGGGGGTGTGCGGGGCTGGGGAGGGAATCGGGCGACTGCTAGAGATGTGAGAAAACATCAGCACGGTGACGCCGGAGTTGTGGCTGCCTTTTCCTGGGGGGTGCTTTATGGGACAGAGGGAAAAGAAGTCATTTAGTACCATGGGGAAGGTGGTCTTCTCTCCCTCTCCTCAAGTTCTTGGCGATTAGGTTCAGAAATTATGAAATATTTCCAACTCTGCAAATGCGGGCAGCAGGGCGGCGGCATGCACACCGCGTGAACGGCCCCCAGTCGCGCTCCCTTCGCCGCTTCTCCCGCGCCTCTCACCGGCGCGGCTGCGGCTGCGGAGCCGAGGGAGAGAGCAGAGCCGTGGCAGGGCGTGGGCCGCGGTGGCCGAGCTGCGCCCTGCGTGGAAGCCGCGGCTCGGCCGGAGATGGAGGCTGAGCTCTCGTTATGCCCACAAGTAGCATCTCCAGGTGGTTTCGCCTCTGGCCTGCCATAGGTGATTCCTGTAGACGCCTATTTCATACCATTGTCATGAGTCTGTCAGGGGTGGGTGTTATTATTCCTGTTTTACATTGGAGGAAAATGAGGCTCCTGGGGGCTGGGTGCCTTTTCTAAGGTCACACAGCTGAAGTCCTCGGCACTTTCCTTCACGCCCACTGCATCCTGGGGGCACCTATAGACGGGTGCCCAGTGCAGAGCCTTGAGCAGGTGCTCACTGAGGGCGACCCCCTCCCATTGCCATTGTTCCACATCCAAGGACCCAGAGGAGAGATCCTCTGGTCATTTAAGAGGCAATGCTTTTATTACAAGTGATGTTTGTCACAGAAAATGCCATGCAAAGTCTTAACGGGCAAGGGCAGCGGAGGATCTTGAGTTTGAGGCATACCTATTATTCAGATCTCTGGTCCCAATCAATAGTAAGAATATTCTTTCTCTGAAAGTGTCTTCAAAAAAGTCTCCTGGAATTAATTAGCCAGTAGTAAACATATGTACTACTAAGTAGGGTAGAAAAATGCAGTGTTTTTTTATTACAGCACTGTCATTCTCAAAACCATGCCTGGACACATGGCAGACATCTCTTCCTTATACAAAGATGCTCAGAAGCCACATCAGTAGCAAAATCCCCCCAGGGTATGAATACGCCTAATGCGATTTCAATCGAAATGTAATGTGCATAATGAGAGCCATTGAAAATGGATGCACATGTATTTTTCAGTGTACTTGGTGACTAAGAAGCATGGATTTTTCAGAAAAACAAAAGAAATTCTAATATGAGAAACTGTAAATGAAGGTGTTTAGTAATTGCTCAAAAGTGGACCAATTACTTATGGCATGGGCTTCTTTTACCTTGCAATTAACAGAAATATTGCAGTATGTAAATTAGGGGCTGAATGAATCAGCATATCACTAAGGAACAAGTTTTTAGGCTGTGGCTCTGCAGTTTGAGGCAGGTCACACGTTTTACTGGCCTGACGGAATGTGGTTCAGAAGTGCTTGCATCATTGTGCACCCCAAGACAAGGACCTAGAAATGATGTTTGCTACTCAGCACGCTTGTCTTTGTCATCATGTTTTCACTCATGTTGGAGATTTCTGCACTCTGATTTGCTAATCTTGCTCTTAGAGATAGATGAATAAAATGATGGTGTTTAAATGATTTGCTTTCACTGACATTATCCTAGGGAAAAATATTAGAGCTTCCGTTAGGATTTAAGCGGCCACTCTAAGTGGTCCTAGTGGTTTATTTTGTTAGAAAGAAAGGTATTATTAAACTGACTCTCAACTCTTCATGTTACTTTTATAGAATAATTTTATTTTCAACAGGGTGGTTTAGTTCTGTTCCCTACTGGTTAATACTGATTATCAGCATATTCCAAATTTAACTATAATATTTTAGAATCCTGGAAAAATTTTTCTTCTCCTAAATGCATAAACACATTAAAATTAACGTTGAATCTATTCAGAATGGTGATAATGTAAATGCAATCAAGATTTCCATCATTGTATGTTGTCAGCCTTCATAGGTGGGAAGGTATAAGACCCAAAAAATAAGGCTGGCATCTGTGCAGCTTCCCGTGATGCTGTGGGCTCATGTGGACCATGAAGCTGGGAAGAAATGTGGGGTGTGAGGAATTGACTTGGTTTTTGCTTCGCATATCATTCATCACATTCACTGAATTTTGTTTTCTACCTTTCTTATCCATGAATTTTAAGTTTCTCTTCACTGAAACTAGAGACAATTCTAAAACAGCATGTTGTCTGTGTTTTTCTTTTTGCCCATAACTATTCTCATTATGTTGTTCATTTATGTTTTCTTCATACTTTGTATAAATTCCTCCAAGTAATTCCATAAATCTATAATTAATTCCTTTTAATTAGTGCTTACTAGTGTTTACTGGATATGTTTGTATATATAAAAAATTTATATAGTCATACTTTACATATCACTGCTTATAGTTCCCTAGGCTGGATTCTGATATAATTCCAAAAGTAAAGTCGCTAAGTAAAAGGATATATATATTTTTTTCATTTAAAAATGTTGTCAGGATTCTCCCCTAAGCCGACCCTATCCGCGGCTGCCAAAAGAGATAATATAGCCACCAGCTAGAGGCACCTCCAGGGAACGGGACCTTCCCTTTTGGGGTCCTACAGCTGATTGAGGGGAACTCAGACTGTGAGCTCCCTACCCGCCAGCCCTCCCAGGTGCTGCTGGCACGGTGATCCCAGGAGAACAGGGCAGACCCTGAGGCTGAGAGACATAGACCCAGCTTGGGCTCCCTGTGGGTGAATTGAGACTGGCACTCCTCTTCCTGGTGGGGATATAGTTTGAACTCTGGGGCCCAGAGGTCAGACCTGCAGACCAGATCCCTTGCACCCAGGTCTCGCATTGCCCGGGGCACAGAAGGAATATACATGAACAGCCTACTGAGGTGTGTGTGCCTTCAGGGGCAGATCAGCATCCTAGAGGGCAACCCTCCTCCCAAAGGGAGGCCGTGCGCCCAGCCCAGGTGGCATTCCTGGACAGGGAATATCCCGGCCGGCATCACAGCCAGGGGAGGCCCAGTGGCATGAGGTATGGCCTGCTGGCAGAGGCCCAGGAGTAGCTGCGGAGTTGGGGAGGGTGGAAAGAAGCGAGGCTTGCTCCAAACTGCGAGTCTTAGCACCCCCCCACATGCAGACTTTCTCACTGAGTGGGGCCATTCCAGCCCCTCCCTGGCAAGTTTTCCTGGAAGCAGAGAATAGAAGTTTGACCCCTGCTAATGGCATTGGTAGTGCTTGAGGGCAGGCTTATCCAACCCAGCTCCGCCCAGACTCATTCCCAGAGGAGCCTTCACTGAGGGGGAGAAAAGGACACACCTGGAAGTCCCAGGGCCCCATCCACCACTTGAGACACTAGAGTGCCTCTCCAGGGGAACAAGAGCTGGATACAGGACACAAAAACAACAGCGTAGCCTGTTCCTCCAAGCAAGCACCACCTACTGACAGGGAGGACATTCTGAACACCGTTTTCACGGCACCTACTGACTCATCATGCAGAGAGTGGTCGAATCTCACCCACAGACACCATCTACCAGCTCAGAAACTAAATAAGGCATATGAATACCCACACGAAAACCTAAAAGAAAGAAGCAACAACTGATTGAGATGGGAAGAAATTAGCAAAGGAACTCTGGAAATATGAAGAACCAAATGGATATCACACTCCCAGATAGGAGCACCAGCCCCTTAGAAATGGACACCAACCAAAACCAGGCAACCAGAATGACAGAAGAGGAATTTCAAATGTGGATCATAAGAAAATTTAACGACCTGAAAGAACAACTCAATAACCAAAACAAAGAAACCACAAAAAGCCTCTAGGACCTGGAACAAGAGTTCACTAAAGAAATTGACACAATGAAGAAAAGTTTAACTGAACTCCTGGAAATGAAGAATCAATTCAGGGAATTACAAAACATAGTGGAAAGCCTCAAAAACAGGGTAGATCAAACAGAAGAAAGAATCTCAGAGATTAAAAATAACACCTTCCAATTAAATAAATCAGTCACAGAGATAGAGTAGAGAAACAAGAGAAAAGAGCAAAGCCTACAAGAGATGTGGGACTATGTGAAGAAATCTAATGTGAGGGTCATAGGGTTACCAGAAGAGGAAGAAGAAAACACCCAAGGGTAGGACAAGCTATTTGAAGCTATAATAGAGGAAAATTTCCCAAGC